CACTGCACTCCAGCGTGGGTGAAAGAGCGAGACTCCATCTCAAAAAAAAAGAACAAACAAACAAAAAAATTAAACTGTTAGGTGTTTCTTTTGACCTAGGGATGCTGTGAAAAAAATTACTGCGATAATAAGGGTGCCATGAATTGAGAAAGCTTGGGCACTTGACTGATAAAGGCCAATGAAGAAGGCCTTTAAGAGAGAGAAAGAATGCGTGTGTGTGTAGTTATGAGGTTACTGTGGATTGTTGTCAACAAAATTTACAATAGGCTAATGAAAGTACTCTCTCCAGTGTAGTAAGAGCTGTAACAGATGTTATGACAGGACATAAGAGAAGCAACCAGCCCAGTCTTGAAGGTTTTTTGTTTTTTTTTTTTGAGGGATGGGATCCAGAGAGAGAACCTAATTGTAATTTTTTTTGGAGAAGTATAACCTAAACTGAATTCTGAAGGACCAGTAGGAGTATACTAAATTAGGGAAAGGAAGAGAGGCTAGAATTCCAGGAAGAGGAAATGGAGGACTGAGTAAACAAACACTAGCATTCCAGAAGCTGGGTATTGTTAGAACAAAAGATCATCCAAGAAGAGAGATAAGGCTAAAGGGTTAGGTAAGAAAAAAATGAAAAAATATGAAAGATAAAGGGGAAAAAAAGAGTTAGGTAAGGAGCACATCTTGAAGATTTTGTATATGAGATTAAGGCTAAATGGAGTTTGAATTTTATTAATGGGCAAAAAAGAGCCACAAGAGGATTTCAAGCAGGGGAATATCACCACTGTTCTACATAAGAATGGGAAAAGTATCAGATGAGTTCCAACCACAGGCTATAAGGCTGCTGTAGTAATCCAGAATAATCTAGACAGGGCAGCTGAACTCAGTGTTCAGTCGCTCAGTGTGGCAACCTCCACTTTCAATGGAGTACTACGTTAGCTTCTCGACTACATAAGCAAACAGATCCCATGGCTTAGATGATCACAATCATAATCTTTTGGAAACTGGGGGATCTTTGCTAACCTTCCCAATAAACCAGGGAGTATAAGACATTTTATAATCTAACTGTGTCTTATTGTCCAAAATAACATTATCAAACCCTGACATTTAGTTTCAAAAGTAAATTCAGTAATAAAATTGGATCCCAGACTTTAAGGAGATTATGTATGTCAGTGTTACATCTATTGTATCTAATATAGGACCCTAGCTGTGAAGGGCTTTAAGAACAGTATCATTTTATGGAGGCATGCCTTTTTTGGCTTGTAAAGACTACCCTCTTGACTTTGAGAAACTAAGTCAACACCTTCACGTATAATTAAATCAAATATGCAAATTCTCATCTAAAATTTACTCATACATAGAAACCCATAGAAGTTTAATTTCTTTTTTTCTATATGGCAACCCAAATCCTTATGAATGCAATAAGGTAATAAGAAAGATGTCTTTAAAAAAAAAAAAAAAGAATAACTTACTTATGGGGGCCAGATAATCAGCTGTTTTTTACTTAAGGGTATATCTTTAAAAAAACAGAAAGAGAGAGAGAGAAAAACACATTCTTCAAAGTAAGCCTATTTAAAAGTGCATTTTAAAAAGTGCACAGGCTTAGAAGGAGGGAAGAGAATTCTACCAGCACTGAATAGCAGCTAGACCCTTACAAGACTTCTGCCACCTTTAAGCCTCCATCTTAAACCCAGAGAAAATGATTAACGACCTCAAATGTTAAAAACAGACCCAGAACATCTCTGCTTCTTTTACCATTCTTTCACTGTCCCCCTTAGCTTCTCCCCAATTTCCATTAGTGAAAGAAAGAACTAAAAAAACAATGTGATTTCAAGGAAAGGTCACTACAAATAGACTTATGGTATTCCTCTCAAACAGGGACAATTCTGTTACTTTAAAAAGCACTAATCAAAAGAACTGAGTCCAAATACTTTACCAGAACACTGACAGGAACAATGCCCAACCATTTTTCCATCATGGCACACATAGAAGGTGGTAACACTGTATTTGTAGGCACACTGAAGATAGAAGAATGGCTGCTGCTTGAAGCCACCTGGCCAGGGCCACTGGCAACCCCAGGCCACACTTGATGTCCAAGAGAGAGGAATCAGTATCTTTGCCTTCCTGAAGCTCCAGTTCCCAGCTCAGTCAGAACTGCCTTTTCCACAGCCAGTTAGGATTAACTGCAATAATACTCAATGCTCTCAGCAATTGTTACTTTCAAATCTAGGCTCTACTATACAGAAGCTAGGTGCCCAGCCTCTGGCAAATAACTTCAATTTACCTTAATAAAGTATGGGAAAACTACCTGTCTTGCAGAAGTGTTGTGGAGATTAGAAATAATTTAAGCAAAGCTCTTATCACAGTGCTTGGCAGGCAATCAACACATGAGAACTCTTATTACCAAGAGGACTACTGAATTAAAGAAGGAAAATCTAACCTCTGTATAGTGGTAATGTCACTGACATAAGAAATTGCTGGCTTCCCTCTCCTTAGTGTCTAAGAGTTAAAACATTTTATAAAACAATGAAAATCATAAACTATCTACTTCAAAATCATAATATTTTTCCTCATTAACATTCACAGCCTCTTATTCCAGTTATTTTAAAAGTAATTGTCCTTGCCACTCATCTACTAAAGAATACAAATGCATATTACACTGATATGCATATCTACAAGAATTGACAGTGGTACATTTATTTACGTTCTGTAGAAGCTAAGCTTGGAAAAACAGTGCAGGACCACCACCAGATACTTGGAGAGGACAGAAAACATCAGCACCTTCTTATTTGAACCTCCCTAACATGAAAATAATCCAACCATCTATAGACAAAAATATTCCCTCACAAATGGTAGACAAGACTCTTTTCTATAATTAGTCCTTTCTTCCTTTGGAAAGTCCTGTGAAGAAAGTGTTGTAATGAAGTACTGCTTCAAAATAAATGATACGTATTATTGCACACTCAGCAAACACACTAGAGAACAGCATCTGGATCTTGGAAAATAAATGTAAAAGAGGCTATTGGTAAATCATGCCAAGGTCACATCAGGATGTCAGAGGATTGCATGTATTCATGGGAAGAATGAACCACTATAAGCATTTTGGGAAGCACCACGTTTTCCAAACAGTGATAATTCCTAATTTCCTCTTTTTGATTAAGATAGGGTACAGTTATCAACCCCAAACATAAACTTGCTGTGTATCACCAGGCAATCTCTTCCTACTAACTCTGAATATGCTCAAGTAGTAAGCATTTAACACTGGAATACAAGTTACAATGCTCAGCACAATTTTAATATAATTTTAACCTTTCAGAGCAGGATAGTTTTGGAAGGTAAAGAATTCTTTGACTCTGCTGAAGAATGTAAAGACGAAGTAAGTCTGTATGTGGCAAGAACCTAAAACAAAACGAACAGCCTAGCCCAACAAAAATAAGCAACTCCTGGATGGTGACTGTGAGATAACCTATACATTCATTCATTCAGTGCAGAAATGTGTGAACAGCTTCATGTTCAAGGCATTCTGCATAGAAACAGTGATAAGTAGGACATGGCTCCTGCCCTGAAGAAATTCAAGGTCAAAAAATGGTGTTTTCAGATAATATTTTACAATAATAGTGTTATTATTTTAATACAAGAGTCAGTTTAGAATAATATTGTATTCCAGGGACAGAAAAACATGAGCTAATAAGACACACTGAAATACATTAATAAACATACTGTAAGAGTTTACTAATGAAATCTGTTATCCAATTTCTGGAATATCATTAAAGTTGCAATTTACTTCCTGGAAAAGCATTAACTTATGATACATGTTTTATAATGTTTTATAAAGGTTGTTCCCAAAACACACTACACAATTTGTAAATTAGGTGCTTTTCAGCTTGACACGTAGGGCGTGGCACGGGGCTTCTCACACTACCTCAGCGACACTTGGATGAGCTCTTACAAGTATGGACATTCAGGTTTCCGAGCACAGGCCAGTTAACTCCCTAATTCTCCCTAAATCCTGAAACAACACTGCCACCCGTGTGCCGTCACCCCCGTCTACTTACACACATATATACAGGCTAAAAGCATGCCAATCACATCTTCCACTTCTAGAAATCTTTCAGAAACGAACCACAGAGGAAACACCTCTCTCCCAAAATGTATTCTCTTCCTCATTTTAGAAGCTAGATTACCTGAAAATGGGCTAAAGCTGTGCAAGCGCCCAAGGCCAGGTAGTCAGTTCAGCTCGGGCAGTCTAACGACTTTAGTCTGAAAAAGCATTCCTTTAACTGGCAAAAAACAAACAAACAAACAAACAAAAAACCCTGGGGGAGATGCTTAAAAAGCAGCAGCTCTAGTACGGGCACGGAGTGGAAAGAAAGGGAAGGAGGGGAGAGGGGCGGAGTGAGGCGCGGGGACTGCGGCGGCAGCGGGTTGCCCCAGGTCGCGGGCACCGCCCGGGCGGGAACTTGGGCGCCGTGGACGAGAGGTGCGGAGTGACCTTCGGACGAGGCCAACTCAGAGGGGCTGCCGGACGCGGGGGACCTCTCCGCAGCCGCCCGCTCTTGGGGGCTCACTCGCCCCACAGCGGCGAACGCGGTGCCCCGGATTCCAGCCGGGCTCATCTCGCAGCTCGACCCCGGGCAGAACTCGGGATGTGCAATCTCGGCAGCCCGAATCCGCGTAAGGGCCTCGGCCCGCCGCCGCCCGGACACACCCCCGCCGCCGCCCCGGTGGCCCCAGTCCCTCCCCGGGCGGCCCGAGCGGGCATCGCTCACCTGCACCCCAAGCAAGTCCGCCGCCCCGAAGGCTCCGGAAGCCGCGGCTGCGTGGCTCCGGCCGGAGGGTACTCGGTCCTTGTCGCCTGGGAGGCCCCGCGCCGGGAGCGGTCGAAGGAGGAGTCTGACGGGTGGCGACGGAGCCTAGGCGGCTGGAAGAGGAGGAGGAGGAGGAGGAGGAGAACTCCAACGCTCTGCTCTGGGGAGATCCACCCTCCTCCTGGCGGCTCTGCAGCAGCCGCCGCAGATCACTTCCGGGGCGCTTGGGAGCGGGGCGGGGCGGCTGGGGAGCGACTTCCTGTCCGTGGGCTGAGAGGAGGGTGATCATGGGCCCGGGCAGGAGAACAATGGCTTGGAGGGCGCAGGCTGCCCGGTCTCCGCCCCCTGCATGGTGAGGCCTGTCTGCGATGTCTTTCCGGTGGCCCCACCCCCGGCTCTCTGAACTCCGCGAGGTGAAGTCATCTCCCGGGGGCTCGGGAGTGGCTGCGGGCCTCGCGGAGGTTCCCGGATCTCAGCGGCGTCGCCCCGGTGTCCTTGTCTTTATTTTGGGGACCAGGAGGGGGTTCTTGCGGGAAGGAGGGGAGAGCGGAGTCCGCCATCTTGCTTCTAGAGGGTCAGCTCGTGTTCCCTGGGCGTCTCAGGGTTGAGGCCGCTCGGTGGCGTGGCCGGAGGTATTCAGAGCGGAGCTGGCGACGTGGCTTGTCGCGGGCCAAATCCCAGGAGGCGGGTCAGCCGCCTACCCTGGCTGGAGGGTCTCGTGGCTGCCCTGGGCCTCATCTAACTGCTGACCCCCTGGAGAATTCGCCTCCTCGGACGGTCTGCGAGTTCTTTCTGAGGGGTATCGGACCCCCCCCCTGCGATTCTGCGGGTCGGGTGTCGGTGTGGTACTGAGATCATCTTGCGGCCCCATGGCACTGTGATTTGGTAGCTTGTGAGAAGTAGTTTCACTAAATCCGTAAATTTAAGTTAGCAACTATAGATTCTTATGTCTTGACATTTATTCGCTTATCTCTCTTTGCTTCCTACAAATTGAGTACCAACTACATTCCTGGTATGAGCCATTCAAGTATTGTCCAGTCTAGTGGGCAGACAGACATGAAAGCAAATAATTGCTATTGAAAGTATGGTATATCAAGATGTACAGAGTAAAGAATGGATAGCTTTACTAACTGTAGGTTAGAGTTTTTAAGATAAATAGGTATTTTCTACTACAAAAAAAGGGGTGGGATGGCAAATCCGGATCCGAACAGAAAGGAGATGCAGCACGGGGACAAATAATGTGTTGAGAAGAATGAGTAATAATTACAGGTCTTAAATTTCAAACTTAGGTTGCTGAAAAGGATGAGGGTAGAGAAGAAAACAGGAGCCAAATCACGAATCCTCTATGCCCTGGTGAGGCAATGAGTGGACAGATTACAATTTAAGCTATTCTTCTGTTGGTAGAGAACAGATATAACTTGCGGGGTGGAGGTGGGAGGGCAGAGGAGAAGGGTAAGCAGAGAGCCCACAAGGGGGCTATTGCAGAAGCCCGATCCTGTGTGAGTGGTCGTGAGCATCCAAAGGAGATGGATTCCTAAAATATTCAAGAGACCAGATCAACTGATAATCGGTTGCTAGGGGCAGCTGCCAGATAGGAGAATGGAAGAGGCAATGATGAGGCCTTGTTTTGCTTTGAGGGAGGGGCAGGATAAGGGCGTATTTTACTAAATAAGATAAGGAAGAGTTAGAATGAGTCCTGGGAGGGGACAGTCAGTTTTGGAGTTGATGAGTGAAGTAAGAGTGGTGCTGTCTAATGGTGGTTGCTGTATGGGTCTAGAGCTCAGGGAGGAGCGGGGCTGAAGTTGGAAACACCACAGGTTTACATTACCACATCCAAGCTGACTGCAGTCTTACGTCATTGAGCACAGTTTCAAAACTACTTCTCCTTTCTCCCTGCCTTTACTTGGGAAAATTACTGAAATACCGCATTAAAAAACCCAGTATGGTGATATGTGTCATCCATAGACCAATACTTTAATGTTTAATGGTCTTCTAAGGACCCTAAAGATCAGGTTTAGCAGAAACTAGATGTAACAGTGGTAACTGTTAATAGTATAGCATCATTAACTCATAAAATGAAATATTATCTATGTTTATATTTTAATATTTTAATTTTTTTGTTTTTTATTCTCTAGGAATTGCTCCGTTCCAATAAAATATTTTAAATTTAATCATTGACAACAGTTAAGCTGGCCATAGGTTAAGGATTGAGGATGGTGGGTTGCACAAATATCTGCTCAATGGAGAACTAGAAGGAGAATGACTTCAAGAAGAGTGAGCAATAGGAATGCAATGAAAGACAACCTCAGATTCATTAGTCAGCCTGTCTCAGCTGCTTTTTGGTGGCTCACAGCTATGCTAACCTAGCATAAAGCAGTCAGAAATAGAATAGTTCATTTTGAGCAGAGCTTCAGAAAACCACAAATAGTAAAAGCCCTATAAATAATAGCTACAGCTGCAAACCAAAGACTAATTATTAGTTTTTAACTCTATATCCCTATAGAGCAGCATTTTTGAACACACAAAAATGAGAAACTCATTCACTTACATCGTAGATTATTTAAATACAGTATTCTCAATTTGCCTTGGATAAAAAAGCATTTAGGTGTATTGAACAACCATATAATGGATAATATACTGAACAGGAAATGAGAATAATTAGCTTGAGTCCCTTTTTTGTTAGTTGTTCACCGTATGACCCTAGCAATGTCACTTAACCTCTCTATGCCCTAGTTTCTCTGACTGTAAAATAGAGATAATAATAACTTTCTATCAACTGCCTCTCAGAGATATTATAGGAAATAACAAATTAATGCTATGAAAACTCTTTGAGGTACTTGGATGAAAGGGCATAATTGTAAGCACATATTATTAATAATTAGCACTAATATCCAGTAGCACTCATGAGCATTCCTGACTTTGCTGCTGGATTACTCAAAGAACATGAAGGATCCTGTTTTGAAATACACTTAGATCTTTTTTCTTAACTTGTGAATTGACTGTTTACTATTTATGATCAAACCTAGTGTATTAACAAATATAGTTAATGAAAGAGGGAAGTAAAAAGTTTTGGTAACTACAACTTTTATGTTCATGCTACTCATAGCTAATACATGCTTTGGGGGAAAATACAGGGTAGATAGGGATTTGCCAGAAGCATGTTTTAGAATTAATGATTAGTCTACTCCAGTCAATTAACTGGAATTTTGTATTAAAAACATTACTCATGTCCCCATAGAATAATGCAGTCCCTATAGAATTTATATACAGTTACATGTTTGACACAATTAAGTTGAACATTCCTGTGAGACTCTGTCATTCTCATCACTGTTTAATCAGAAACGTAATGAAATATATAGACTTGTGAAGTTTCGTCCAATGTCTATCCCTAAAGTAGATGAAGTTTTTTTCCATTAAATTGGTGACTTCAGTGTTTCCTTTAGAAAGGTGTATGCATAATGTAAATATTTAAATATATTCATGACTACATAATGTGCATATTTATTTTTATATACTTGCTTATATACCAATTTATAAAATTATCATATAATGTATATTAACTATACATCTGGTAACAACAATGACAAACAAGACTTCTTTGTGTTTTAGGGCCAGATGAAAAGGTAATTGGTTAATAGCCATTTGTCACCATTGATGAAAAATCAACCCAAAGTCATGTTTTATTATTTATTAGAGTTAAGAGCATTATCTATAAGAGTCATGACACCTTGACTGGGTGTAGTGGCTCACACCTGTAATCCCAGCACTTTGGGAGGCCCAGGCATGAGGATCACTTGAATACAGGAGTTCAAGACCAGCTTGGGCAACATAGGGAGTCCTCATCTCTATTAAAAAAAAAAAAAAAAAACCAAAAAAAACTAGGCAGGCATAGTGGCATTCACCTGTGATCCCAGTTACTCAGGAGGCTGAGGTGGATCCCTTGAGCCCAGAAGGTCGAGGCTACAGTGCCTGTGATCATTACACTGTGCTCTAGCCTGGGCAACAAAATGAAACCCTGTCTCAAAAAAGAAAAAAAAAATCCATGACACCTTAACATTTGTACTATTTCATTTTGTTTTCACAATTTTATGAGATACAAATTGTTCAAAGAAAGATTGCAGTGAGCCAAGATCTTGCCATTGCACTCCAGCCTGGGCAACAAGAGCAAAACTCTGTCTCAAAAAAAAAAAAAGAAAAGAAAAAGAAAAGAAAAGAAAAGAAAGAAGTAGGCTTAGAGTGCTGAAAGACTAGCCCTCTGAGACTAGTTTTTAAAGACTTAAAAACTCGCTGCAGTTGTCAAGTAGCATACTCAAGCACACATCCTGAGATTCTCAAATATATTGTTTCTTTTAGTACTTTATACCAGGGTCACCAGCTTGATATGACTGTTATTTCAGAACGTATTTATAATATGAGCATTTCTGGCTTATTTTTGATTGCCTGCAGCATCTCCAAAATTCAGCCAAACTTAAGTTTTTAAAACTGAAAACTACAATTCTTATGTTTATGGCTGTATCTTTACCAGCTTGAAGACAGGCACTTTGTTTTATTCATTTTTGTATCCTTCATGTTGTCCAAAATAAGTACTCAGAAAATATTTTGGGGATAAATAAAAAGTATATTGTGATGTTTAGTTGAATTAGGGAAAAAAAACTGATACAATCACCTCAGAAACTTTTTTAGGGGGTTGTACACATTTTCAGCACATTCATATAAAGATAGTTTGTTTGGGTTTATGCTTTAAATTGGTGGAACCATTGCCTCAGTTTCCCACTTCATTTTTAATGATGTCATGCCTTGGAGAGATAGGCTTAAGTAGGTGCTGGAGATGACAGTCACCTGTATGATATGCTTCTGGATATGTTTGTTGGGCTTAGATGGTCTGGATGACCCACAACAAAAGGGTCACCTAGAATATCTAAACACAGCTTTAATGAGAATGTGTAAAGAGTGGGGTTATGACAGTTTAGGTCTTCATAATTCTCCTCTTCATGTCGACGACCCTTTTGGACCACGTATTTTTATAATTTTTCTGTCAAGGGATTGGAGGATAAGAGTACTGTATCAGTGATTCCCAAATGTGACTGCTTATCACAATCACCTGTATAGTTTCAAAGGAAATTCAGATTCTCAAGTCCCACTGTAAACATAGAAAATATTTAGATTTAGGATTAGAAAATCTTGGGTGAAGTCCAAGGCATCTGTAACTGTAATAACACTCTCCCTTGAATTCCAATGATCAGTCAGGTTTGGGAAGTTCTGGTTTCAATAACTTGTTTGAGGTCACACAGAACCCTAAGTAGAGCCAGAAATGAACTCAAATCTTTTGAGTCCAAGTTAAATATCTTTTCA